AAAATAGCATACATTCTCTTGTAATCATTGTCCAAATCCTCAAGCTCGGACGGCACCGAAACAGACGCCGATAAAGACCTACTCGCCCGCGAGTTCTTCCGTATGATCCTCTTGCTCTTGGACTCAATCCTATGCATCACCACCCAATAACACATCGTCCCCAACGTCGTGGCGAGTATCGTGGTCCCTATCACGGTCACCATCACAGCCAACCACATCTCCCGCTTCCCCACCACCACGAACGCCAACGCCAGATACGCAACCGACACAAGCACGCACGCCAGCCACATCAGCTTGTTTATCACCGCCATCATCTGCTTCTTCGCCTTGCTCTCGATCACTACCACCGAAGTCTGCACCACGACCACCGCCAGCGAGATGAAGAGCGCAACCGAGTCGAACACGAAGAATATTAAGAAAGACGCTTGTGAGGCTATGTTGGCGGCCCCTAAGGACTGTCCCGCTGGGATGTTGTCCACGTCATCAACGTACTGCCCAGGGACGGTGAATATGGCCGCGAAGGCCACGGTGGCGATGAGGACTGCGACAACTGTTGTGGAGTTGATGGCGTTGTTGAGGCCCTCGGTGTGCATTTTGTTGATGCGCTTGGCGATGCCCTGGACTCGTTTGCGGGTCTGGCGAGTGTGCTCCAGTTGGTTGTGGACCTCGTGCTTGATGTCGCTTACGGTCTGTTTGAGTTCGCGTGCAGGGTTGGTGGAGGCTTGGGGGTTGATGGCACGGGCGCTCACCACGCCGTGCTCGTGGAGGATGGACGTTATCTCCGGGTGCCCCAGGGCCTCGGCCGTGTCGAGGGCAGTCTCGTTCGAACGGTTTACAGCTCGCGTGTCGAGTCCGGCCTGGCAAAGAAGCATTTTTACTACCTGCATTACAAAACAAGGTGTTATGTTACTCATGTTGTTGAAAAGTCCTTTTCAACAACTTGACATGTAAAATAAATTTTTTTTATGTATATGTATAGATTCTCTTAATTTCAAGTTTTTAATACATAATTTTCTCATTTTCTTTTTTTATCCAGATTTGTTACGGAGTGCATTACGTTATAGTCTTTCTACAAATGGACATACATATTGAATACAAAAAATTAAATAAAAAATCATTATTTACTGATGCACGGATGTAAAATATGATATCCAATAAACTTGTACAACGAAAATTTACATTGTTAGAAAACAAAACAGTAAATGATATTTCATTTCAAATACAAAGGTTAAACTACGTATGGAATTACAATTGATACTTATAGAAGATTAACACCTTTTGAAAGAGATGTAGTTAAAGGTGTTCATATTTATTAATGTTATTATTATTAATTAAGTAGAGAAGAAATAGCTCCTTACTTTTTCTTATAGTCAATTGGAAGTCATTTCTATGTTGTAAAGGATGACCTATTGATATAGTATACACAGACAAAAATAAAAAATTATGAAAAAGAAACAAAATTAAATTGAAAAGAGAAAAAGGGAATTTTGACAAATTTGTTAAAGTCGTGAGTGAAGCAAGACGATTGGTGTATCAAGTCTTGGAGTAACTAGTATGATTGTCCTTGTTACAATATAATATTAATGATTAAGACAATGATTAAACAGTCAAGTCGTCAAACAAAGTAGTTGATAATTTTCTCCTCCGAATTCTAATGTCAAAATACTCTGTTTGGTTGTATCACTCAACATAGAAGTAAGTAATTGTTAGTTGACATGACCTTACTCGAACAGGATTTGTTCTATAGGATCGTACATCTTTATCCTTGAAATATATATATATATATATATATATATATATATATAAAAGTATATATTAATTGACACAAGTAACATATTATCTTTTTACCTGAGCCCTCCCTTTGCGAGAGGCAATATGTAATGGAGTATTACCCTTGGCGTCGACCATGTTGATAGTGGAAGGGTCCGCTTCAATGAGGTCTGCCACAACATCGAGATTCTGGCCCTTGACTGCCATGTGAAGTGCCGTCTGGCCCTTTTTGTCCACTCGTGTGGACAACCTTGGGTCCTTAGCCAGGAGGGCCCTCACGACCTCCACGTGCCCGTTTCTTGCCCCTGAGTGGAGGGCAGTTTTGCCATTGCTTCTTGCTATTGTTGCCAGACTGCTCTCCGACTCCAGAAAATAGTTCACCACTTCTATCCGCCCTTGTGTGGCCGCCGTGTGTAGGGCCGTTGTGTTTGCTATGTCCACCGTCATCGACAACTCCGGGTGGGCCTCCATTAGCACCTTCACTACTTCTGCACAAACATTATGTTTGTAAAAAAATACTCAATCTAAATTAATTTATACTCAAAATCTAACTGAATTTTAACTCAACCTACTATTCTCAGTGTTATTAATATAATTAAATAATAACAACCAATAATTAAATAACAACAACCAATCATTTTTACACATCATATCAACTTTAATTTACTATTCATTCACTCGCATAATTTTAATTGACCTTCACTTCATATTATCTATCTCCTACTTTTACATCAAATCAACCTTAATTATTTTATTTTAAATATTATTTTAATATAAAATCAAAATTCCACTAACAACTAACTACATCACTTTTTCTAAATTAACCCTGATTAACAAAAAAAAAACTCACTTTGAATTAATTTGAGTGAATTTTATTCTTTTACAAACACAGTGTAATTCATCCACAAAAATATTAAAACAAATCATCTTAAGTTTACTTTGCAAGTACCATATGTTTAGGATCACCTGATCCTAAAAATTTTGTTTATTATTATTAGGCAAAGAATAACATAACAACAAAATAAAAGTAAAACACAACATTCATACATACCAAGATCCCCTTGTTTTGCAGCAATGTGAAGGGCATCAAACCCATTTCTAGCCTTAATCCCAGCAGCTGACAGATCGTAGTACTTAATCATCTCTCTCACGACCTCAAAGTATCCGTACTCGGCTGCCACATATAATGCGGTCTCGCCAGCCGAGTTTTCTCTCGACAAAATCTCCATCAGCTCTGCCTCATCACCAGCATCGTTTATTATTTCTCTTATAGCTATTATATTTCCAGCTCTGGCAGCTGAATGCAAAGGGGTATCGTCTCTTTTGCCCGTCAGCTGTTTCGTCATCTTTTTCCGTGGTGTGGTGGGAGTCTGTCCTGCCGGTACCGTCTCCATT